TAGACTTTTAAATTAATTATTATTTTAATAATAATAATTATTAATAATCATAATAATCATCATTAATGACAACACGTAATAATAATAATTTATGATAGTCATATTAAATATAATTATTAAAATAATTAGGGTAATAATAATAATTATAATTAATAATAAATTATGATTTTTATGATTATTAACTTAATTATTTGAATTTCAATTAAATCCATTTAGATGAGATTAGACCAACCTTAAAAATTTAGTTCAAATCAGATTAAAGTAAGAAAATGTAACCTTAGTTATAATGTAAATTTAGTAAATTACCATTATTTTAAAATATAGTTTTGAATTATCAAATTTTATAATATTTAAATAATTTAAAATATATTTAATTCATGATCAAAAGGTGCCACAGTTTGACCAAAAAAGTTAAACTGTGACAATCTTTTAAGAACGATGAAATAATTGATTTAATTCAATTTATTTAAAATGATTCAACTTATACTGTGACAATCTTTTAGGAACGGAGATAGTAATTGATTTAATTCAATTCTTTAATATGATTCAACTTATACTCTCTTTGTCTCAAAAAGATTGTAGCACTTCATGATTTAAAAATTACAGGAACTGGTGTTTTTTCATATTTTTATTAATTTTTTGATAAAATAAAATATTCTTGTGACATTTTGTTTTGTAGAATTACTTCGTTAAACGTAATATTGTAATTTTGTTGGGACGTAGAAGTATGTTTTACCTATTGATGTGGGATAATAATCAAAGAGGGATTGAGGAAGAGAGATTGGATTGGCGGTCGCTAGGAGATCTTGGGTTGGTCCAGAAAATCTGGTATTAGTCAAAAAAATGCGACAAGGGGTAAGCAAAATGTTACCTCTTTTTTTTTTGGTCAAGCAAAACGTGGATATCCCATGTTTAAGGTTTTGGTCGTTTTTTAAGATCGTGGTCTAATCTAGGGAATGGGCTAAAGCTAATTCCTTAAGTACTGTAAATTGTTGTAATTATTCGCTCTTGTCGTTTTTCAACTTTTACTTGCCTACATTACAATTAAAAAAACTTTTACTTTTCCTACGGCCAAATAATGCCAGTATCCCTGTGGTTTGCAAAATAGACATCAAAATCCTCTCTGTTTTCAAAACTTATTTCTAAAGTCCTTGTAGTTTCAAAATGTTGCACCCGTGCCCCCTCTGATCATTTTCTAGAGAAGGGGGCATTGGTGCATATTACTAAACCACGGGGGTATCAGTGCTGATATTTATTTCTCGCTTATTTTTTTGTTTTTTCCATTTTTTCCTTTATTTGCTTCATTTATTAATAAAGGTTTTTTTAAAATTATTTTTATAATGTTCATAAAATTTAAAGTTAATTATGTTTGAAAAAAATTAACATATACTCCGTAATATACTACGTATATGTACGTCTCAAATCAACAATTTTTGTTTTTTCTGAAAAAATTAAACTTTTTGTATATGAGGAATAAAATAAGAAACAAAATACTACAAAAATAAAAATGAATATTTTTTTTGAACATCTCAATTCTAAGGACTTTTTTAGGCTTGCCATTTTTTTGTATAAGACTTTTTTGTATATTTTTATTTTTCATTTTATTTTTCCATATTTTTATTTTTTTATTCTAGGTTTTTCTTTTTGAACTTTACAAATAAGTACATAACAAAAAGTGAAAATGTTTAATTTCAAATAGACAAAATGTATGTTATTTTTTTAATTTTTATTTTTATTTCAAACACAAAAAATTTTAAAAATTTTAAAACATTATAAAAATTGAAAATAAATTAGAAAAAAATCTAGGAAAAGGTAAAAGAGATTGAAAATATTTAAAAAAATGAAAACACAAATAATAAACGAAAAAATGAGCACAACTGCCCCCTTATGGTTTAAAAATTATGCGCAAATGCCCCCATCTTCACCGGAAAATGACTGGAAAATGATTAGAGGGGGTGTGGGTGCAACGTTTTGAAACCACGTGGACTTTAGAAGTAAGTTTTGAAAATAGAGGGGGTATTGGTGCCAATTTTCCAAACCACAGGGGGCATCGGAGCTATTTGGCCCTTTTCCTACATTACAATGTACCCCCTCCGTCCCGGAAAACATGAGAGTTTTGATTTTGAAGAGGGATTTAAGGAGAGTGTATTTTGGTATTGAATTTCCAAAAATGTCCTTTGATGTGATGGGTAAAAGTATGATTTGATGGATATATTATTAGTAAAAAGGTATGATGTGATAGGTAGGGTATGAAAAAGTAAGAGGTAAAAGTGACTTTTTAATAGAAATGAGAAGTGTTTTTTGGGACGGATGAAAAAAGAAAGGAGAAAAATTTTCAGAGACGGAGGGAGTATGTATTTTGTTAGACAATTAATTATGGTAATATTATTAACAATGGTAATTTTTGTTTTTTAGTCAGTTTTCCATTCTTGTTTTCTAGTTCTAGTTGGGGTTGCATCCCCTTTTATATATTTTATCATGTTGGAACAATAAAAAATAATTTTATTATTGTGACTGCACTTAGAAAAACAAAACATTCTAAGTTGTCTACGTACCCCAATGAAGGGGATCAAGCCACACGTAGTTCAAAACAGGGTTGGTTAAATTAACTGGATAAACCTTCAAGGCGCGTGATCTTTAGAAACGCTTTCCTAAAAGTTTCTTATCTACCCTATTATAAGCAACAAGAGTTACAAGATAGAATTTTTGGGATACAATGAAGAAGACCAAATTGTTCGGTTGCTCTACGAAACAATTTGCTAATGTACTTTAACGAGACTTGTCTCGAGACAAAGGAGACGAAAAAACATAGAAAAATACACTAATTAATATTTCATCATCATAGAATAAATATAAGAAATAAATACATTATTTCTTCATTATTCTAAATAATCAATGAAATAATAATTAATAATAAATCATTTTTCTAACATAATTTTCCCCTCTCATTTTACATTGTGACATGGGCCCTATTTATAGAAAATAATAAGTCCCTTTATAAATGATCATGTCTCTTTTGTAAGAGACACACCCATTTAATTAAAAACTTCCACTTTAAATTCAAAATAAATATTCAAGAGATGTCATTTAAGGATAAATATGTCTCTTCAAAGAGTTGTGCCTATTTATTTAAAATTCAATTTTGAATTCAAAATAAATCTCCAACATATCATGTATTCCTTATTTTCTTGATCAATGCAATTATTCAATTATTTCTTTATTCAATATGGTACTCGAGCTAAAATTTTCAAAAATCTAGCCCTTCTTTTTCCAATCGAACACATCGCCGGTCTCTGTTTACAGAGGTTGACCGTCCAAGAGCATGGCATCACCGACCAATCTCGACGAGCGTGTCTAACAGCCATTGCCACCATCTGTAACACCCTAATCCATCCAGGTCTGCATTTCCTTTTGGACTAAAGTATTAACTTAGAAATCGTAAAAATTTAAAACATTTCAAACATCTTTATTTATCATAAATAATATTCAATACATAAAAGTAAAAAATACGGAGTGATTAATAATAATGCGGTAGCGATTTTAAAACATGTCTTATAACAACACAATTATTTATTTTATTCAATAATCCACCACGACTATGTCATCCCGTCCGCTGCCAGGGATTTGCCAATCATTATTCTGCCTACCTGCGTGTAGCAAATAAAACAACATTACACGCTCAACGGTGAAGCTGAGTAAGCATATCTAAAGCGTCGAACATCCACATAAATTGAATCTCAATCCATAATCAACCATTTGATATCATGCACACAATATATGATTCAAACATTTATGATATTTTATTCCAAGTTATTTCATGATATATACAATATTCCATATATATCTCAACCGTGCTCTTAAATTATTCTTAATCTAAGGGCAAATCATTTCATAACAAGCTCTTAGCTATTCCTAGTCTAAGGCAATATTTCTAATTAGGCTTTTAAACTATAAATAGTTTAAGGCAGAATACAGAAATCAATAATCCACCCTATGAGTCATGTGGATTACGTACCAACCGAACATTGAACTGTCAGGCGGGTGGTATCCGGTCTGGATCTCCTACATACGTTTTAACCCTGAATTATGAATTGGTCAAAGAGGTATATTTTAGAGTTTTTCTAGATATTCTTAATAATTATCATCAACTTCCAAAAGGGTATATCTTAGAGTTATTCTAGATATCTTTAACAACATACATCATCTTCGTGATTACCAATATATCCAATTTTAGTCATGATTAAATCATCAATAAAGTTTCATATTTTTATCCTAAAATAGTAATCTGCACCATGGTAATGTGACATTGTATATGGATATTTCACAATACTTTTTGGAAATGTATATGATCATTATTGACACTGTATATGTATTTTAACTCCTAGTTCGAGAATAAAAATATAGAATTCCTTTTTTATTATATTTTCAATATTTTACGTCTACTTTAATCATTTTTTGTTAGTGCCATTACTAGAGGTTGAATCTGTGATCTCCCATATGAGAGAGACATCAGAGCAGTGGAAATACTTGTAACGCCAAAGGGCGTTAGCCTAGTTTTGATGCCTAAGGGGCGTGAAACACCACCCCCTCTCCCGTTATAAGGGCGTTAAAACTCCTGCGTTAAATCTTTGACGCGAGTTGAAGGCGTGAGAAGGCTTTCTTCCTTCTTTTTTCTCCCTCTTTTTTCCCATTTTCTTCTCTATAAATTAAATTTAATTTTTTTAAAAAATTCAACACAAATACAAATTTCTCTCTATCTATCATTTTTTTTAAAAAAAATTATTATTCAAGTATTTTATTTATTTTTTCATGAATGTAATTTTTTTATTTAATGAATGTAATGTTTTTATTTAATTAATGTAGTTTTTTATAATGAATGCAATTTTTTATTTAATGAATGTAATTTTTTTTATTTAAAATCATGGAAACTGACCTTTCTATGTTGTCGGGTTTCAAACGGATGATATACGAGCAAAGACAAAGAGAGATCACGGCGAAATATAATTTACCTTAGTTTTTTTAATTAATATATCTTTTTTAATATTGTCGTTTTTTTTATTTTAATTAATGTATTTTTTTATTATTCGTGTTTCAATTTAATTAAATAATAAATTAATTACATTTTATTAATTTAATTTTAGAAGATGTATATTTAAAAATGTAAAAAATGAAGGTTTGAAGCCCCAGTTTGAAGCCCCAGGGCTTCAAACCCATTTCCAGTGAATTTTGGGTGTAAGTTAAAGCTGACTGGCAGAGAGAAGGTTTGAAGCCCCAGTTTGAAGCCACGGGGCTTCAAACCCATTACCAGTGCTCTCAGACATCATCATGCCCTTTATCGCCATATCTTTGGCATCACATAGTCTTATTATTTTCAAAAAATAGTAGGCAATACTTTTAAGATAATATATCCCGATAGAAAAGAATAAAGATAAATATGTGATTAATTTATTCTCATTTAGTTTCATAATTTTGTTTCTTCTTTTTCACTTGGAATTTGGAATATTTTAGGTTTAAAATTCCAAATATTAAACTCCAATAAAAATCAAATTCAAAATCAAAATGGCAATGCAAAAAAATACGAGTACTATGTACTCCGTAAGAGCTACCCCGTATGCCGTATTACTCCGTACAAAGAGGTATAAGTACATTTTTACGATTGAGAGGGGAGTCAGGTGACCAAAAAAGGCTAGGTGCTTTGATTAATTAATTGTTTTTTAGTTAGCTTACTGTCTAGACCCATAATTAAAGTATTTGATTCACAATTTCAACTTTTGTTAAACTTTGTTTGTTACTTGTTACTTTTGTTAGGGTATTAATTGATCAGTTTTTTTAGTTACTCCGGATGTAACTTAAACTCCCTCTATCCTATAACTTGAACGAGGCGGCGTTTTCCTGTGGGTCGGAGTGTTTTCCGGTCACCTCCGGCAAAATTGACGCCGCTCATCCCCGTGTTCGTGGCATCTCGGCGACCCCCAAGGACCCCTCAATTGCAAGATTTGATGACGATGTACAAAACCCCTAATTTTGGATTTTAGAGTTTTTTTCGAGTGAAAGAATTCAAATTCGAGGAGTTGCAGGCCAAATTGGACAAAATGATTTGGATATTCTTGATCCTCATCTCAAGACGAAGAGAACGGTGTTGGTCCCGCCGGAATCTGACCAGGTTGATTTTCCGGCGACTTTGACGTGGTGCGACGGCGGCGGGGAGCGGAAGAAAAGAAAAAAAGAAATGGGGTCAAATTGAAAATTTTAAAATATATAAAATTCTAATTTGGCCCAAATGATCGGAAGTTAACCTAGATACGGGCAAATGGCCTTTAGTGAAAGGATTGTGTAAGTTCAGGGATTTTTGTGAAAGGATTTATAGTTTAGGTATCACTTCGAAATTCCAGCTAAAGTTCAGGTACCATTGGTGAAATTTACCCCTTCGAACTATGTCTTTATTAGTTATGAGAGGGAAGAACTAATTGTAAGCAGGAAGGGCTCACTTTAAAGCAAAAATAGAGGAGTGTATTGTTTTTTTTTTGCACCGTATAGTAAAACACATACTCCCTCCGTCCCATAAATTTTTTTTTTTCTTTTTTTATCCGTCCCACAAAACACTTTTCATTTCTATTAAAAAGTTACTTTTACCCCTTACTTTTTCATACCCTAACTATCACATCATACCTTTTTACTAATAATCTATCCATCAAATCATACTTTTACCTATCACATCAAAGGACATTTTTGGAAATTCAATACCAAAATACACTCCCCTTAAATCCCTCCTAAAAAATAAATGTCCCATATTTCAGGGGACGGAGGGAGTACTTTAATACGAAAGTCAAAAATATCCAAAACATAGAAGGTTGAAAGTAATACATTAGTACTCTCTGTAGTGCCTAAAATATATGAACCTATCACACCGTTTATTTTTAGTTACCTTATCAAATTGAGGTTAGTTTTTATTGATGATTTTTTTAATTCATAAGAGCATCTCCAAGGTGTAGTGTAAAAATTGGTAGTGTAAATTTCATTTTACACTATCAATAGTGTTTTACATTTCCATTTTTTTATACTTACTCCAACCATATCTTCTATATATTACACTTTTTATAATATTTTATTGTTTTAAGTTACTTATTTTTAATGATTTTTTTAAAAAAGACGTAATAAATATCTTGCACATATGAAAATGGAGAAGAGGGAAGGAAAAAAATGAAGAAAATTAATTTTTTTATTCTTTCCACTATCTATAGTGAACTTGTAAAAATAGACTTTGGAGATTGCTTTTTACACTATATTGCATTTCACCACTTGGTTTACCCTATCCATTGGAGTGTTGAAAAAGCAACATTAAATTGTATAAAGTGTATATTTTACAATATACACTACACCTTGGAGTTGCTCTAAGGTTTGTATGGTTTTAGTTGTATTTTTATTTTTCGTTACTTTAAATCTAATTTTCTTAGTTTTATGAGGTAAGACTAATCTTAAAAAGAGAAATGATGGCGGTAGAAAGTCATTTTTAAAATTTAAAGGAAAAATTTAAAAAAAAATAAAAACAAAAAATCATAAAAAATAATCTGATCTTTCATTTTGTTGGGCAAAACAAGCCATTTTGGTTAACCACGTGTTAGAGGCTTAACAACGATCCAAAACTTATAAATTTTACTAAAGTTGAGATTGTCATGCTACATGGTGAAAGTTGAGATTATTCTTGAAAGATGAGATAAAGTGGAGATTGTTTTTGATAATTTTTCCTAATAATAATTTTTCCCTATTATAATATTCCCACACAAACTGATCATCGATAAATAATGAAGAGCAGCTTGAAGCACATGTATTAGACTGCAGCGAACGGAAGCGATTATGTGAGGATAACTACTAGAAATAAAGACATATGGTTCTTGTTTTTTTCCCAAGGATAGTATTTGCAATTGGAGCGAGAGTGAGAAGTTTCTTTTTTCTCCTCGTGGGTCATTCTCTAATTCTTTATCGTTTTTCATGCTTTCGAACTCTAGAGAAAACATAAGGAGTAGACAAATTAAATGTAGTTTTCAGAGAAATTAATTTATTTTATCTAATGATTAATTAGAAAACACATGAATAAATAAAAGTTATTGGAAGGCCCTAATAGCAAAAGTAAATTATTTTGAGACAAAAAAGTATATAAAATGAAAGGATAATATTGAATGAATATGAAAAACTAAAATAAAATTATTTCGGAGTGCTAGTAATTGAAGGATAAAATTGAATGAATAAGAAAAATTAAACGAAGAAAAATGAAATAAATCTAGGGGTACACCAAAAAAATACCTCATTTGTACACCAGACAAAGACAGATATTTAACATAGACACTAATTGTTGAGTATTACAGCGGGAAAAATAAAAATAAAATAATCCGAACTTATAAAACGTTCGGATTTTACAAGAAAAATAAAAGAAAAAATAAACTTGGAGTCTTCGGGTGCTCGAACGGATGCAGGAACACGAATAGCCGGGCGCTTGAACGGCTAACAGAGACGTCGGATGAGGAGAGGAAGAACGCCGGAGGTGTTTGTGAAAAAGGGTAAGGAAAGCGGAGTCGCCGGAGCTTTCCTTAAGGTAGTATTGCCCGCCTCCCGCACAGGCAAACGTGGGCAATCTCCTCCCAGGATAAAACCGCTTCGTGCAAGGCCTAGGGCGGTAGCACCGACGAACGAGAACGACGGGGAGTTATCGCCGGAGAAAGTGATCGGAAATGGGAGATTGTCGGAGAGTTTATATAATGCAGAGAGAGATTTTCGAGTGTTTTTTCTGCGGCCAAGCCTTCCTTATATAGGAGAGGATTTGGACTCTTCACTGGACCGTCGTATATTAGGAAGAGTCGGTGACTCTTCAACAATTATGCATGCATGCTTAATTCCGTACACTTCGTTATTAACGAAGTGTACACGCGCGTTTCGTTTTGGTCTCGTAAAAATTTAGCCATGACGCAGACGCAGACGCGACGCGCCCCGCCCCGCCCCGCCCTGACGCGCGCGCGCATGCCGAGCCGGACGGACGGACGGACGGCGGTGGCGGGCGCGCGAGGAGTTCTCTTCTTGTTCCTTTCATAAGCTCAATTCAATGCCTAAGCTTATATATGAGAATACGAAAGGTTTAGAAACCGGTGTGGGACAAAGGCATTTACTCTACCTTAGCATTCAACTTTGAGAATTAATTTCTCATTCACCCGAGCACCGTTTATGGCGTGTAATATGTCAAGACGTTCGTCTTACTTACGAGATTAGTCGTCCATAATTATTTTGGAAAAATAATTTTGTGGACCCAACCGAATTTATGTCCGAAAATGTCCAATTTACTTTAAAATTTCCAACAATCCCCCACATGAATGAAAATTAATTCATGTAACTGGCAATAACTCTGAAGTTGAAACCTGCAAGAGTAGGTAGGTTTTATGCCTTTGAACCTACTCCTTGTAAAGTATACCTTCTCTACTGGCTGTTCAGTAGAACG